TCTATCTTTAACATTTACAATAATTATACGATGTGCTTACAGTAACATATAAGGAATATTCAACATTTTTTATAAATTTAATCAAATATCTTGAGCGAATCCAAGATTATGTCCTAATGGACATGTCAAAGTGTATAAGAAATTCCAACCCCTTATTCTCTAAGCAAACTCCAACCCTAAAATATCTAGACTTTTTTTCTCAGTTCCACTGAGTCCAAGAGCTAACAAGGTTTGACTCAACTCAAATTATAATCATAAATGCAAGTATACAAAGTACAAGTTCCATGTAATTTGTTATGTTTTAATTTATGTTATTCCATTGGGCTTAAGTTGAAGCTTGAAAACTGAGCAAAAGACTTGCACCAGCCTTGATGGTGACATGTGTAACTAATGAGACTATATGCACTTAATGAGAACAATTTAGGTTTTAATAGTAATTTACACACATTAATATGCTAAAATAATCAAATTAGTATAAATTACATTTTAGCATTGAATCATTTGAATGCATTAAGTGCATGGCAGCCCCTTATTTAGTGATTCGTTCTAGTTAGTATCTGCAACTTGCCTACAGAATGATGTAAAATTCTGATACTCTACAGCATTATATTGATCACGTTCATAGAATTAATGCTTCATGCCACTATTTACACAAGTCGATATGATGAGCATTTTGTTAATATGGTATCTGGGTGATGTATAAATACTCTATGAATTGTATGAACTAACCGACCCAAACACAAACAAATTTATCTAGAAGGAGGTGGGGGGTAGTCACGGGATTGAAGGCCAAAAAAAAAATTGAATTGTTTTTAGGTGTGTGTAACTGTGTATCATTGCTCTTCAAATTTTTTTTGATATATTGATATATTAATTAAAACATGATGCAGGTGGATCATCATTGAGAAAAAAAAATTAAAGATTCCTAATTCTGGAAATACATAACATTTTTAAAATTATTTAATCCTTGCACATTAAACATGCTAAATACAATATTACATCTCAAGTAAATAAAACTTGGTGTTCTGCATCATATTACAATGCACCTGTTCTGATGTAGATTTTGATAAAAACAGCAATTTAATACCAGGTTCACCAACCTGTACCTATTTTTTCTGTATGATTTTCATTGATTGACAGGCAATCAACTCATATAACACCCTTAATCATAAATCTTCGGATAATGGCAGTGATATACACGTTTCACAGTATGTGCATTAAAAATCTTATTTAATCTTTTAAACTTTTTAATCACTATTTTGGAAGTGTATATCAGTGTTATCATGATACATCAACTTTCGTGTGTAATATCAAGAGATCTACTAGTGTTTTTCTTCCCCTCTTTACGACCCCAATAACCTCAATAAACTATTAAATCCCAATAAAATGTCAAAGATTAACAACATGACCCTTCTTTGATCTTCGACAGGTGACGTGAATTGTCAAATAATTTGAAAACAAGAGTATACTGTCCAATCAATACTTGTGAATATCCCAAAGATACCAAGTTTTCATTTGTTATATCCACATCTGCATTTTTGCAATAAAAACAAACTACTTTCAGATATATGGGATAAAACAAAACTGTTTACATATTATATACCTGTGCCAAACTTACATCAAAAGAAAGAATAAAATGGTACTTTAACACCAGTTCGAGCATCAACTTCTTCAATGGCTTTAACATGTAATTTGTACTGACAATATAGAACTATCCAAGTATCTTTGAGTCTGAGCTATAGTCGTTTTCTAATTTATCTCACATCATACTCATTATGTGTTTGCCAAGATGTCGAGAGCTTTTTGCTAATAAGCAATTTATATATTTTATATATAGGGAACACATTCTGCTGCAAAAGATAAATATGTATGTACTAAAAAATTCTGACACTAATAACCCCACCCCAAAACTTCGTTTCTTTTTCCTTGAGTCTCTATGGAAAGAACATATCGAATCTCACTATATCTCTCTACTTGCACTTGGAAACTGATTAAATAAAATACACATCACTTTATCAAGTGGTGATCTGCTTTTCACTTCTGATAAGCATTGCAACTTAAGCTCTAAAAAAATGAGAGGTACACCATTTATCAAGGCATCATTCCAATGTCAATTTACAGCTGTAGTTAATGCAGGAAAGAAAAATAAATTAAAAATGCAAGTGCTGCTGGGACAATGAGCTGATATTGCATGTCCTTTGTGTGACTAAGCATGTTTAACTGAACTAAAAAATAAACATCTGTTTCTGGTTTTTGTTAAGTATCATATAAAACAGCCTGAGAGCAGATGTTGAAGCAATAATGACAGCCATGTCCTACAGCACTATTAAAGTATCTACCCCTGTTTTGTAGCTGCCTCTGTGCTGCTATAGTCTTACAAAACTATTAGTACCTACCCCTTTCTTTAGCAGACACTGCCACTACAGTCTTACAACACACTAAGTACCTACCCCTTTCTTGTAGCGGACACTGCCACTGCGCTTCAGGGTCCCCCCTTTACTGACTGCTTCTTCCACTTCTACACTGGCTCCATCGGTACCTGGTCTTACACTCAGCTCTATCAGCTCTTGAATGGGCTGCACTTTCACTGTCACCGTCTCTCCTGACTGTCGGATCATTTCAACCATCTCCTCTCTCGAAATATTTTCCACGTTGATGCCATTGATTTCAATGAGTCTGTCCCCTGGAATCAACCCGGTCTGCAAGGCTTTCGGCCCACTTCCTGGTTCTGCAAAAACTACCGTATGTTTGAGTTCTTGTCCACTTTCTGTATTGTCTGAAATAATTGCTTTTCTAAGTGTAAAACCAAAGCCACCAGTTGGCTGCCTATGAAGAACTAATTCTCTGACTTTTGGAGGTTTTGGAGGTACGATCTCAGGCAATTTTAAATCTGACTTAAATGATTTGTCAGGAGATTTCTGAGGTGAACTAGAGGAACTAGAGTTTATTGATGATGCTGAAGAACTGGATGCCAAAGGCCTATTTTCTTTTTGAGCTACTTCAGCTTTAGCAGGATTATTTGTTAAATGAGCTTGATATTCATTCATCCTTGTATTTTCTTGCAAAAGGACACTGTCATCAATGTTTGTTGAAACTTGCTGTTGCTCCCCTTTCCCTTTGAGAATTGATTTTGGTTTGGGTGCTATAACTGGGGGAGCTGATCTGTCTGCTTTCCCTCCACTAGGCAGTCTCTGGGGCCTTGTCAGGCTGACCCTTTGAGCTGGCGGCTCGGGGGAAGTTTCGTGACTCGGGCTGGGTCCGTCCCCACTCAAGCTACTGTCACTTGTATCCCTCTTCACGTCTTGACTGCCTGGCGGTGCAGATTTGTATCCTGATTTTCTATTTTTATCTTTATCACTCAAACGCCTAAACACGCCTTTCTTCACCTCATCCAACTTGTTTAACTCATCTTGTGTCATTGGTTCACGTTTCTCTTTCTTTTCTTTTTCCTTCTTCTCCTTCTTTTCTTTCTTTTTCTCCTCCTTGTCCTTTTTATCCTTATGCTTCATAAAACTGAACATGTTGCCTGTTTAAAGATAGTTATTCAATCCAATAAACTGTCAACACTTGATAAATCAATCTAAATCACTTCCCTCACGTGCAGAAATAACCCCAGATGCTGCTGCTGACAACTTTCACACAGACATGAAATACTTTGCGCACGAAATGCACTTGTTTTCCGACATAAATAGTACTTGAGTTCACACTTCAATGACACAAATCATCTCAAGCAGAATGCTTTTTCAAGTATGTGAAATATGAGAGTATAAGTAATACAGTGTTCCGATTCATAGCGCATCAGTCAAAACTCTGCGGCGTAAACTCCGCCTGTGGGAGGTTCGTCTGTCTGCCGATTAGTGTGTGAAACTAGTCAATACTTCCCTCAAATTTGATACACCAGCTAGTACAAATTAACAAACTGTTGTTGTCATAAGTGATTAAGTTCCCCTTTAAACGCGTGTCGATCCTTTTATCCGTCCTTCAATGCTCAAGTGGTCTAATTTTCAACAAAATGGCCTCTACACACAGGAAAGAGCAGTCGACTTCCGGTTTCGGTTTCATTGAGCAGGGTTGGTTTCAAAAGTTGATTATTTCATCGTTTAAAGTTGTGTTGATTTTTTTCTGACATAAACTAACATGCATTCAAGGGAAACATTCCACACAGTAATGATGAATTAGTGTAAAAATATATAAGCAATAATGATTAAGTACAAAGCGACAATTTTTGCAGAAAGCCAATGCTTTACATAAAGCATCGGGCTCGATATTCCTTTACCGCGCTTGAACTGTTGACAGGTAAACAATTTGGTCTCCTCTTAGTTTAGTGAACATCAACGATGTCAACGGAAGATCGCATATTGAACAATATATACAAACCAAGTTTTTCTAATGTTCTTTCACCAGTGATATTACAGCATATGGCCAGAGAATGGTTAAAAGAAGACACGCCAAACTTTGATTATGGTGGATTTGTAGTGGGTGAAAAAGAAGAGACTGCTCTTCTCTTAATCAAAAGTGCAGGTGTTTTAGCTGGGAAACCATTCTTTAATGCTGTTTTCAAAGAATTAGACTGTGCTGTCTCATGGGAATATGACGAAGGTGAATTCTTAGAGCCAATCCAGTGTGTTGCCAAAGTTACTGGTAAAGTCCGTCAGTTATTGCTGGGTGAGAGAGTGGCATTAAATTGTCTTTCTAGGGCTAGTGGTATTGCTTCTCTTGCAAGACAGTTAGCTAAGATTAAGGAGACAGCTGCTTGGAAGGGTGAAATTGCAGGTACACGTAAAACCACCCCTGGATTTAGGCTGGTGGAAAAATATGCTTTAATTGTGGGGTCTGTTTCCACACATCGACATGATTTATCCTCAATGATAATGTTAAAAGACAATCACATCTGGACTTCAGGGAGTATAACGCAGGTATCTTGTTATAAGGTGCTCCCTAATGTAGCCGTGAATTAACCTGCTTTGAAACTAACCTAACTTGAATATAACCTGTTAATTAACCAAACTACTATCCAAACTCTGTAGTGTAAATCTATACTCTGCTAGGCCTATACATAACACATACTTATAATACAAGTAGATAAAATACTCTGGTATATCATTTCATGATCTGAAGGAGCTTTTATAATATAGACCTATGTATTTCTATTGTAAATTATAACTACAAGTTTCTCATGCCCTCTTTTTTGAAAGTGCAATAGAAAATAGAATATTAAACAGAAAAATCCCAAGAGCACATTTCCATAGATTAACATTAGAAATAAAACTACAAAATTCTGAAAAATGCAAGGTATAGGTAAAGATTTCACTTGTATATTCTAATAAGCAACATTGATGTAGTACATAATTCTTCATTTTTAAAGAATTGCCCATTAGAAATAACCTACAAATGAAGTTAGACAGATACATGTTTTTATGAGGTACATATCTATTCATTGTTATCAGTGCCAACATTCCTTAACATTGCTTGCTCACTTTATTAAACCCTTTCAATTTAATGGAAAAATTCAAAGGTTGACAACCTCTCTATGTATCAAGAATGTTTACATATTACGACTGAATCAACATGGTACCCCAAGTCATTTACATATTTGACTTCTAAAATTGGAGAAAATTTAAAGGCCTGGAGAAGAAAAGGTCCACAGATAGATACTCTCATCACTCTTTATTTCATGTTTATTGATGTTACAATAGTAGAAATATGTTACTTTTGTAAATTATATGCATTTGAAATGACATATTTATGTACAAATTTAATGTCTATACATGTATATGTATTTTAGCTGGTGCATACTCTATAATGTGCATGAAAGAAGGTAAAAAAATTATGTATGCTTGATAATGCTTCACATTATTGCTAATTCAAAATCTTTTAAATTTGGTAAAATATTTACTTATTTTGCCACCTTTCACTACAACTTTTCACTAACAATTGTACAAATTGAATATGCTAACAACTTTATTTTAAATGCTGCAGCTTATCTAGATATCATACATGTATTTTCTAGATGGTTGGCCAGGTGAATGATTTTTGAGCAGTTTCATTTATAGTACCATTAAATTTTACCTATACCAAAATTGGCAAATTTAATATATCATGAAAAAAAAATCTTGCAACTTGCATCCAGGAATGCTTTATATTTTGTTATGTTGTTGAGACCTAATTATCTCTGGGTCTATATTTGCAAGAAAAATTCCCTATGTTAAGTTGTATAGATTCTCCTTAACAGACGGACAGTAAGTCAGTAACTACAGCTGAACTTGAACTTAGGCATCTTAAACTCAGATACCTTGAATACCATCAATAAGCCGACATATGATTTTGAAAGTTCCAAGCTTTTTAACTACATCTTGGAGCTTAATTTTTAAAAATGAGGAATATCTCTCTTACCTTTTGATGGTACAATCACCTTTAAGTCTTCTAACTTTCCACACTTGCTGAATTTTACAGGCTGTGAAAGATGCCAGAATTGTTGGTGGATTCTCTTTAAAGGTAGAAGTAGAATGCCGGAGCGTAGATGAGGCATTGGAAGCAGCAGAAGCAGGCAGTGATATTGTCATGCTGGATAATTTCTCTCCTGAGGTAAGACTTTCTCACCAATGGCATGAATACTCAGGATTTAGAGACATTGGTTTCATATTAGGTTCAAAAATGCATCCCACTCTTGATCAGATGAAAATTATCAGAGAGGGCTTAGCAATTACTGCAGTTAGCAGAAGCACACCCTAACATTTATTACTGTATACAGGGTTATTTTCGCCCTTTCATATTTGAAAACAAGTTTGCCCCGTTTTAAATTTGTCCATAAAGATTTTTGTTTAAGATATACTGTTTACTTTGAATTCACCCCGTTTTAAATTGGCCCACTCCAACGAGGGTGAAAGGGGCAAAAATAAAATGGTGGTGAAAATTTCCCTGTATACAGTATATTCAAGGTCAAAGGTTAAGGTCATCTTAGATTTTTTTTTTCAAACATCTCCTGATTTACCTAAATGTGAAGATGACGTGATACATGATTGAATAAAATAAAAGTACATGTATAATAAAGTCACCTGCAACAGTCAAATTAAGCACACCTGTATGCTTAATGGAAGGGCAGTCAGACTGCAAAGTTCCTAGATCCATTGCTTTGCATCTTGACAAAAAACATAACCAGAAATGAATGTCCATACTAAAACAATCTCTATTTTCATCAACAGGCACTGCCAGATGCA